GCAGGAGATGGTGGGAGTGGATGGAATCAAGCTAGATATCTCTTACGAGTCCTCTTGCCTCCCACTTCCTTTGGTTCTGTTAGTAATTTAAACCACTTTTTAGTCCTATCAAAGATGACATTTTGATGACTGGAGTTTCCTGGTTGAGGGAAATGCTGACAGCCTAGTAAATAGACAGATGGCATTTAGACAATGAGTCCTGGCTAAGTGAAAGTTCTATGGCTCGAATAGGAGAAAGACGTAAACTTTTACAGCCTTGGAAACTCTGTGGGGGCAGTTTTCTCTCCTATGGGGTCGCTATGAGTTGGGATTTCCTGGAGGAAACTTCTGTTCTGATAAATAGCTTCAAATTCTGATCAAAAGAAGACAGGGATGAGGGAACGATATGCAGGAATAAGAAAAGATACTTGGCCAAGATTGGCATGGTAACAACAGCCAAGGGGCAGAGGAGGAGGGTGAAGACATTTTTCAGAAATGGATCCAAATGACCCTGAAAGATGTCAGGACTAGGGCAAAGCTCATGTGTGAAGGTTTGCACTGACCAGGACAGCAGAACTGAGGAAGCTGTGGTTCACCTGGATCAGACTTCTGTGTCAAAGTCACTGGCCCCTGGGGAGGGGCCCCAGCCAGGTCTTCACACTGACTTGGACTTGTCTGAGAAGTTACAGTATGTTGAGGAAATGATTAAAATTCTGTGGGGCTTGGAAGTGGTAAGGATGCTAGAACGCTCTTGTTGCCTGTTCTTATCTGTCCTTTACACAGTCCCCACAGGAATGTGTTCCCTTTACAGGAACCCGTCCCCTCCAGCCCCCCAGGAGGCTTCCCCCTTCTCTGCCCAGACCCCTTAGGGGCCTCCCGCTCCAGTGCAAAGCTCCATGCTTTCAAAACGAACCCTAGTGGTGCAATCGCCTAGTTAGCTGTGGGTTTTGGTTTGGGCTCTCAGGTGGGAACAGAAGTTCTTAGACTGGGAGAGGTAATATTGGGACAGGGCTTCAGTGTTGACTGGCCCTCAACTCTGAGCAGGTTCATGGGAGGTGATATACTGTATAATCGGGAAATCTCTCCCTGAGCCAGAGTTAGAGGTCATCTTACTGAACTGTTGGATTAGCTGAACAGGAATAACAGCCCTCAGAGCCAGCCATGGTGCTGAAGAGGCTGGACCTGGAGGGAAAAGCTGACCAAGCTGACCATAGGGAAACCTTTCATGTGCTCTGGATCGAGGAGAGGTTGTCCTTTCATAGATCTAAAGAGTGGGCTGAGCTCAATAAGGCCCTACCTGGAGGCCACAAGAGAGTATAATGACCATCAGCAGACTAAACAAGCTGAAAATGCCCTCCAGCTTCTGGCATGGGTGGCCTCTGGCTGGGGAGGTAGCCCCACTCAGCATAATCACCCCACATCTTTCAGTTGTGGCTTGGGAGTGAAATCAGCAGGATGTTAACTAAAGTGCCCATAGTTGTCAGGCCTGTCACCTCTGGTCTCCTAGGCTGAACCTGAAGTTGGAGCTTAAAAGAGAACTGGAATGGGTTCCATGGTGGGAGGACCTGAGGACAAGATTTGGGCTCCACCTACTTTTACCTCCAACTCCCTGTCACCTGGAAAAACCATAGACCATGTTTGGCTTCACAAGTGGGAAAGAATCAGACTCAAAATCAGCCCAAGGCTGAGTCCTATGAAGTGGAGGTCAGACATGCCTCCACCCTACAACCTTCTTTACCCTATTCTGACACCAACCATCCCTCCATAGCACTCTGCTTCACATCTGAGTTTGGTAACCCATTGCAATGGCCACACAGAACTCAACAATACTCACAATTATGGGGTTTATTAGGGAAGTGAACAGGGTACAATTCTCAGGATCAAAACCAACTCAAGACACCACAGTTTTCCGGTTAGGAATGCCTCTTGTCAGTCCGTAGGCACTCATTTTCACTCAGTCCATGGGCCTAGAACCCAAAGCTACTCTGTCTCTAAGCCCTTGCCTGTCATCACTGATTATCTAGGTCAGGATCTCACACTCTACTCATGCTCTTCCTTCTTGATGATCCTGGGACCTTCTGTCTCTGCTTCTGAGATGGCTCCTTTTAAACCTAACTGGAGGGCAAAACAAACCAGTTCCAGCCTTAGAGTCCTGTATACCATATTTGCATGCTCCTAGAGGAGCTCTGGTGTGACGCTGTGGGTTAATGCGCCAGACTGCAAAGCTGTTTGAACTGCAAGGTTGGTGGTTCAAGCTCACCAGCTGCTCCTTGAAAACCCTACACAGGGTCATTATGGGTCGGAATCAACGGCACTTCACAACACTTCACAATAACAGAGGAGTCCTGGTGTGGCGCTGTGGGTCAATGTACCAGGCTGCAAAGCCGTTTGAACTGCAAGGTTGGTGGTTCAAGCTCACCAGCCACTTCTTGGAAACCCTACACAGGGTCAATATGGGTCAGAACCAACTCAACTGACAGCGTTTTACAACAACCAAAGGTTGCACAGCTCCACAAGCAGCTCTCAAGTCCGTTTTGATGACACAAAGCTGGATTCTCTCACCATCCCTTTGGTGTGTCCACCCCATTCTGGGTGCAGCATCAGAGGGAGAGAAAGGGCTACTAGGACCCTCTCTAGCTGACTTTGTTCCTCCACAAACATCATCCGGGTAGATGTAGGCATTTCTGTGCTATCTCCCCTCTACCTCACTCACTGTCGTATGCTGAAGTCTCAATAAACCCCTTCTATTTTCTAATACCTCTCTCTAGCTGCTTAGTAAGACTCTTATTCTTTTTTGCCTTCCCCACCCCCATCCCAAGGGACCAACTCTGGGTGAGTACTCTAACTTTGAGACCTTTCTTGTACTTTGAGCCTCCTCCCTGATTTGGGTGAAGCCATCTGCTCCTCTTTCCTCAGCCTCCCTCCCCACCTTCCCCCTTGTTCAGGAAGGAGTTTAGACCTACAGACAGAAGGAAGTGGACCCCCAACTCTGTTGACTCAGCAAACATTTCTCCTTAAGCTGATTAGCACTGGAGTGGAAAGGAGGAGAATTTGCTAGTCACTGGAGCTGGCGCCTGAGCCAAGCTGGAGGTGGGGTGGGCATGTAGCAGCACCCAGGCTTAAGGAACAAGGCTTGAAAGGAAGGTCTGGAGGATTTCTGTGCCTCAGGCAGGTACAGGGCTCCCTTGCAGGGAGAGGGACCCTGTCAGGCATTAACTGCCTTGAATGAGATCACAGGATCTGTTTTTGCAGCCTCTTGGATGTGGCCCTTGGCATCAGTCAGGACCCATTCCCTCCTTGTCTCTCATGAGGCATCCATCCCCCTTCCCTGCACAGACCCCTCCAGGGCCAGATTCCTGCTCCAGTACAAAGCTCCACAGTCCGGGAAGAATCTGCATGGATGGGAACATGGGTACCCAGACCTGTTCTGAGCCATGGGGACTATCCAAGGGCAGACACAGCTGTGCTTCAGAAAGTCCCCAGTCCGAGGCAAATATAAGACACAGGACAGATTTTTTCAGGCGGCTGGAGCCCCAGAATATGGAGCTTTGCAGTGGAGCAGGTGGCTGGCCCTGAAGGGGTCTGGGCAGAGAAGGGGGAAGCCTCACAGAGGGACAGGGGAGGGAATGGATCCTGATGGAGGCAGAAGGCTGAATGAAGCCCAAGAGGCTGGGAAAAAGAGTCCTGGAATCACTACAGGGAGGTCTTCACCCTCCTAAGGGGCTCAAATTGTCCCCCTCTGCAGTCCTGTGCTCAGCCACTCCACTTCCCTCCCTGACCCTCTTTCTCTACTAGCATCCCTCTGCTCCTGGCTACCTGCCCAGCCCACCCCAAGTAGGAAAGGAATGCTTTGCACAGTGATATCTGTATCCCTTGCCTTGGTGTCTTCCAGCCCCTAGTCCATAGATATGTCACCCTGCCTCCCACCCAATCAAATGTCTCTTAACCCCAGCGCCCCCTACTCCCCGCCCCCCCCCACCTGCAAAGGCAGTTCAATATCTTGCTTTCCACAATATGAGAGCGAGCCAGACACCGGCGAGCCAGACACCGAGAGAGCAGAAGCCTAGAGAACTTGGATCCCTGTGGGGGGAAGTGTTTGGTGATGATTTATTAGCCAGACAAGGATCAACAAACAAGTTCTAACATCTGTTCTCACCAAACCATTCCTCAGACAACAGCAGCATTGGACCAGGGCCCAGTCTCAAGGGCTCAGATGGCCAAGGAAATTAGACTCTGGGAGGAGAAACCAGGACAGCAGGAGCCAGCAGGGCCCTCCCAGCCCATTTCTTTGCCATCTTAGAGAACTGTCAAGCACTGGATCATCGGGTTCCTGGAGACTCTCAAAAGGGAACCAGTGAGTGTGTTCTCAAGAGGAAGTAGCCTTCACATTTGCTCTTCTGGCCTCCAGTTTTCTCTGGGGGACCCAGACCTGCCAGGGTCACAGGGCTAAACCTGGGATCCAAAGGAGAGGATCCAGCATCCAGGATCCCAAGCAGCAGCATTCTGAAAAGCAGTCAAATTTCCTATCTGAGGAAATCTCTGATGTTTCCTGTGAAGAAGAGTTAATGATAAGGAACAGAGCACTAAACCAGGGACATCAGGAAGCCAGGGTTCTAGTCCTTGGCATAGGCCAAGTCACTCTCCCTCTCTGGGTTTTATTTCCTGATCTGCACAGTGAGGTGACCATTAAGATAAAGTCTGCTGCTGATCCTCCTCCCTTCTGCCCTCATCCATAGCAGACATCACTAATCAATCAGTGTGTTCTTTTCTGCTGAGTTCAGATATGACCTTCACAGCCTTTCCAATGCAGCACTCTAGGCAGCCACAAACAATAGATTGAAGTTGGCATGCAAGGTGACACCTTTTTGCCATTCTTGCAACAGATGATGGCTGAAGTCCTTTCTAACTTTGATCACCTGCAGTTTGTTTCATCCATATTTCCTGACAAGGGTGCCCTAGTGTGTGTGAAGGTCTCTGTATTTGATATTCCAAGTTATCCTCCCCCAATTCAGACTTACCAGCTACTGAGGAGGTCCCAGGGGGAGCCATGTCTGTTCCTGATCCTGGAGCACTTGTTTAGAAAGGTTGTGGGGGAGGGTGTATACCCGAGGAGGCGGGGGCTGGTGAGGTAGGGGTGGAACTTGTCCAGTCCTAGAATTCTCAGAATGCAACTGTGGGCCACCTGAATTCTGGAGAGAGAAGGACAAGCCTTAAGTCACACCCTCCACCCCCTGCCTTTAGACCTACCTGAAGCCTCCAGGGTCAAGACTTCTGAACTTAACATACTGTGTGTGGCATGTAGACAAGCTCCTCTCAAGTCATTTATTCCACAAACACTTCCTGAGCACCTGCTGTATGTCAGCACTGTACAGGGTGCTTCAGATAAGTGTGCCCCAGTCCCTGCCTCACACTCTACTGGGGGGGTGGGGAGATGGGGTCCCAGGTGATAAATGATATGATAGGTGTGTTCAAAGCATAATGAGGATCTTTGTGATCAGGCCAGGGAAGTCTTTCCGGAAGAGAAGAAGGGTAAGCTGGCCAGGCAACTGTTTTAGAAAGACAACTCAAATCTTCCTTGGCAGACAGATCAGAAGTTGCAAGATTGGTAGCTAGGAGGCCAGGTAAGAAACTCTTGGGAAACCCTGGTAAGAGATGATTGGAACTTGAATTGGGGACAGGGAAAATATATTTAGGAGGAGACACAGAAATAATTTGTGACTTATGGGGGATGGAGAGGGAGCCCCTCAGCAGGAGTATGGGTGAGGTGAGCCAGTACAAGGGTTGAGGAGGGAGCCTGGGAGCCAGCAGGGAGGGAGATAGGGAAGGAGCTGATGGGAGCAGGAAAGCAGGATGTAGGTGGCAGAGGCACAAGGACCGGAAGTGGTTGGATTGGCCAGTGTGTTAAGATGAGGGATCCTCAGGTTGGGCAGAGAGGTATGCAAAATGGAGGGATGTGTGTGGAATTGGCTGGGGGCATGGGGTGGGCCTCAGGCAGGGCTGGAGAGGGAAGATCTAATGGATGAGGTGGGCACAGACCTCCTCTGCAGGTTCTGGTGAGGAAGGCTGAGGGGTGACCCTGCCTGGGACCTCTATTTTCTCTTTGAAGTAGGAGGGGATGATGTGCTGAGAAGTGGAGGGGGTGCTGTGATGGGGGCTTAACAAAAATGGGGCAGATCTGTGACATGGGAAGAGGGAAGGAGAGAGCAGTCTCTAGGCCTGGAAAAAAATTGAGCATAAAGCTGGCAATTGAGGATGTACTCTCCCGCCCCCTCAGCCTCTGACCTCACTGTGATACAAGTGTCCAATCAGTCCTCCTCAATCTAGTTTTCAGGAACTCCTCCTTCTTGTAGTCTAAAGTTTTCCTTCAACTTCATTTACCTGGCCTCCTGGGACAGGCCTGGACCGGCATTTCCGTAGGCCCAAATGCCCCACGATGGGCTGAGGACCCTCACCCCCTGAGGGCCCCTCCACCTCAGCATAAATGTTGCTTGGGGCTTCCCCGGGGCTGCCCCGGCCCATAGCGTAGAAAGCTATGGGCTCATCAAGCTCCTGGTAGATGGGATTGGAAGGTTTGGGAGGCGGGGCCGGGAGGGGTCGTGGAGCCGGGCTTGCGTAGACATCAGGGGACAGCCGAGGTTTGGCCGGGATGGGAGGTTTGGGTCTGGGCGGCTGGGACCTCTAGGAGAGAAGGCGAGGCAGGTAGGAGAAACGGGTCAGTGCAACTGAGTCAAGACCAGAGCCTGAACCTAAGCTAAAATGAGGGTTCTCCCCTTTTGAGCCTCTCACAGCATCCCCACCCTCTCTCCGCCTCAGACCCCGCCTCCTCCTTCCCCAACTCCATCACAGTACCTCCTTTGACTCCCCGGTCCCTTCTTTCTGCCGTGGGGTTGAGGCCTGTCCTTGTTTGAGGATTGCACTATATTGAGGGTTTGGGTTCTGGATTTTGCTTTCAGAGTCTGTTTCTTCAGTTCTCAAGGAAAGTCCTGCGGGCTCAGGAGTCTGCTAGGAAAGGAGGAGATCTTAGAGACTTGGTGCAGGGGTGTTCCAGAGGCAGGTGTTCCAGGAGAGCAAAATGACTAGGTCCAAGTGGAGGATGAGGGTCCGGGAGGCACAAAACTTTGGCTTGGGTTGGGGTCTGGGTTCCCTGGGTTAAAAAGGGAAGGTGGAGAGGGCAAGAAGCAGGAAAAGGGGAGGGGGGGTGTAGTGGTAGCTCTGGCCTCAAACCTTATCTAGTATTACATTTAATTTCATTAGGAACACAAAGCTTGCTCCCTCAGTCTCCATTTGTGCTTGTGGTTGTAAAAATGCAACAAGGCTTTAGAAGTCTTTAGCCTAAAACATTTCACAAGGAGAGGATCTTCATAATTGTGCCTGAGGTGTTTTTATGTTTTTGTTTTTGTTTTTCCCCAGATGCTTGGGTCTGAGTGAAGTTGTCCCCTTCTATGTCTTTATGGGTGTTGGCTGGTGTATGTGTGTATACTTGAGGTTGTGCATTTGCCCCATAAGCCGAAGTCTCTGTGGATCCCCTCATGCTGCCAAGGGCATACCTGAGATCCCTGGAGAAGCATACGCTATGGAGATCTAAGCCAGATTTTTTAAGGACCAAGTGACAGCCCCAGGAGAGTCTTAGGTTACTTCCTACAGTAAGTGTGCTTTTAGCCCAGCCTTTAGCCCTAGGTTCATGAATGTTTGTCACATGCCCACTGCTTCTGGTAAACTGAAACACCAGGGCTCAAATTAAAGTCACAGAACTTTCTTTGTGTTTCTGCAACACATCAAGTGACTATCTCCATATAAGGCACTACAGGCTTCCTGGGGCCAAAATTCTTTCAATCTTCTTAACCCCTGTCCTTTTTTCGACATGCCCTTTATAAATAAAAAGCAACATCTCCACCCTGCTTCTAAAATAGCACTGTAAAAGTCAACTTTTAACACCCTGGCTTCACTCCTTCACTCCCCACATCTAATCAAACACAGACCTTGCTCTTATACTGTCTAATAGTTCTTACACCTGCCCATTCCTCTCCATGCCCACAGCCAATGCTCCAGTTCAGGCTTTCATTCCCCGCTCAGTGAAAAGGATTGATCTTACAGAAACTATCCTAACAATCTTTCAGTGTCTTCCAGATGCTCACAGGATAAAGCTTAGTTACAAGATCCTTTATGGCTGAATCCATAGAGCCTCCTACCTCTACCATTCTCCCTCCAGCTCCCTCAGCTCTGGCTGACTTCCCCTCACTCCCAGGATTCCCTATGCCCCATTCCCGATGCTTGGGAAACTTTAGGTACCTGCCTATCCTCATAGCATTCCATAGAAGAATTAATTGCCCACAGGCACTATCCCACTTCTTGATGGGTACTCCAAACTGTTCTTGTCAAGATCACCAATGACCTCCTTTTTGCTAAATCCAATGATCAATTCCTGACCGACCGTCACTTCCTCTTCCTTGACTCACTTGGCTTCTGGTTTTTTCCTCTCTCTGGCTGCAGCTTCTCAATGTTCTTTGGAAGTTCCTCTGCATTTCTGCAGACTTGAAATTCTGGAGACTTGGTGGTCTTCTATCTACCCTCAGTTCCTGGGTGATTTCACCTTTCCTGAGGGCTTTAGATTCCATCTACCTGCTGATAACTCCCATAAGTTTCTCTCTAGGCCACACCTCTGTCCCAAGCTTCAGATTTGTGTATTCCACCTGCCTATTTAGCATCTCCATTTGGATGTTGAATGGACACCTCAAACAGCGCAAAATGAACTTCTCCTCTAACCTCCCTGATGACTTGCCCCTCCTATAGCCTTCCTGGTCTCAGTGAATAAACAACAACTCCTCACCCATTCCTGAAAAAGTCTGTCAGTTTCACATTCAATTTCAGCAGATTCAGCATTCCACCCTTTTCAAACCTCTACATTCATTACTCTTATCCAAGTCACCATCATTTCACCTGACATTTTATAGTATCTTCCATATGATTATCTTGCCCCTCCCAATTCTGCTCCTCAGCTTATAACTCTCTAGTGCCATTTTGCCACGTGCAGAATAAATTCCTAAATCCTTAGGGGAGTCTACAGGGTCCCCTCTTGCTACCTTTCTGATCTCATCTCTTAGCTCTCTACTCTCAGTCACCTAGCTGGCTTTATTTGTTGTTGTTGTTAAGTGCCATAAAGTTGGCTCCAACTCATGGTGACCCTGTATAGGGTTTCCAAGGAGCTGCTGGTGGATTTGAACCACTGATTTTACTCTTATTATTATTCATCAGTGGAGTACAGGACTGCTAACTGCAAGGCTGGCAGTTCAAACCCACCAGCCTTTAGTAACCCTATATAGGTGGCTATGAGTTGGAACCAACTTCATGGTACTTAACAACAACAACATTATTACTCAAACACATCAAGCATCTTCCTACTCAGGGCCTTTGCATCTGCTATTCCCTCTGCCTGGAATGCTTTCTCCCTGGTCATCTAAGGATCCCTCCCTTACTTCATTTAGGCCTCCATTCAAATATCCCCTTATTAGAGTGGACTTACCTGATAGCCCTATATAAAATACCTCTCCCTTTTTACTTTTATCACCGCTGGTTTTTTTTTAGTCTTACTTATCATTTCCTGATATATGTTTTATTTATGTTTATGTGTCTATCTTATTTTGGAGTCCTGGTATGGTGCTGTGGGCTAAAGCACTGGACCACAAGGTTGGTTTGAACCACAGGGTCAGTGATTCAAACTCACCAGCCGCTCCTTGGAAACCCTATATGAATTGGAACTGACTGATGGCACTTAACAACAGCAATCTTACTTTACGTATTCATTGTCCTTCCATTAGAATGTAAGCTCCGTGAAGGCAGGGATATTTGGTGCTGTGGTTAAAGCACTAGGCTGCTAACCAAAAAAGCCAGTGGCTTCCCCGAGGGAAAAAGATGTGGCAGTCTGCTTCTGTAAAGATGTATCGACTTGGTAACCCTATGCAGCAGAGTGTCCTGTGAGTCAGAAGTGACTACAGCAGTGGGTTTTTTTTGTTTGTTTGTTGTTCTTTTCCTGTATCCAGAACCAAGCCTGGCACAGGTAGCCTGGGAGAACTGCATGAACTCCCTTAAGGAGACACTTCTTGACACTATACCCCAAGTGAGCTAAATGACACCCCACCTTGTATTTCCCCTCACCACACCCTCCACACTTGATTCCTATGAACTGTTTAACTTTGTGTGAGTTTGAGACCACTTGTCTTATTCACGGCTCAATTCTCAGGGCCAGCCAGCTCCTGTCAGATGGTAGGCCCTCCAAAAATGTCTCTAAATGTACTTTAAAATGGACTGTGTGCCCCTCCTGTCTTAGCGTGGCTGGGCTGGTCTCTCTAGAACCGGTCCCCAGCACTCATCTTAATCCACTGGCTTCCCACTGAGATGTATAGCCAAGTGAGGCATGGCTGAACCATCTACTGGGATGAGAAAGTGCCTGGGCCCCCGCGGTCCCCTAGCCTGGGTTCTGTCTGGGTGAGGAGGGGAGCTGGCCTGAATCCTTGATGGAGGGGTTGTCCTCCGGTTAAGGTGGAGGAGGGGCGTACCTGGCGGGCACAGGGTTCGGTGAGCTTTTCTCCGTAGGGGCTGAGCGGGCACGCAGTGTAGTGTCGCAGCAGGTCCTGCAGTCGCGCGTGGGCGCTGTCCTCGCCCAGCACCACGTGGCGACCGTCCCCGAGCTGGGCCAGTAGAAAGTGGCGGCAGCAAGTCCGGCTCCTGGAAGGCCGTTTCTCCTCCTTGGTCAGGGCTACCAGCGTAAGACGCGACCCCTCCCCCACTTCCTTCAGGGTCTCTCACCCTACGCCATCCCAGGGACTCCCAAGGGACTGGGCGAAGAAACCCCTCCACGCCTTTCCTGTTGGGAGCCCGAAGCGTCGCCCCTCACCTGTAAGTCAGCACAAAGGTAATGGCGCTCTCGCTGAACCGCACCAAGAAGCATCCCTGAGGCTTGGTCTCAAGCAGTCTTTCGGCCTCCCTTTGAGTAGAAGGGACAGAAAGAACCCTGCTTAGACTCTCCTGGCTTCCCCCCTTGTGTCCCTGGAGTTCCTGGGGGCCCATCCCAACCCAGTGTGCTGAAGTGGCTTACAAAGGACCAGAGTGGAGATGGAGAAAGAGAGGACGTCAACACTGTACTTTGCTGCAAAGACTGGGGGTGGACAGAGGCTAGGGCCCCACTCAGGACACAGGAGGCTGGGTGGCCTATCACCAGCCCTGCACTCTCCCCTCTCCCCAATTTGCATCCTGAATGGGCATCCTGAAGGGGTTGGGGATGCAGCAACAGGAAAGGTAGTTAGACTTGTCTATTTCAGAATTCCCGAAGTGAACTAAGAGATACAAGGGCAGCAAGTCTGAGAAATAAAGGAGAGGGAGAAGGACGGAGCATAGAGAGAAGAAAGAGGAGAGGGCTGGAAAGAACCAGAGATAATGATGGAGTAAGTGATAGAGGGTCGTTATGGGTCGGAATCCAGTCAACAGCACTTAATAAAAACAACAAAGTGATAGAGAGAGAGATAACAGCTGTTATTATTAGGTGCTATTGAGTTAGTTCTAATTTATAGTGACCCTACTATGCACAATAGAACAGAACACTGCTCAATCCTGCACCATCCACACAATTGTTATGTTTCAGTGCAGTGTTACTGCTGTTGTCAGTCCATCTTATTGGGGGCCATCCTCCTTTTTGCTGGCCCTCCACGTTATTAAATAAGATGCCCTTCTCCAGAGACTGGTCCTTCCTGACAACATAGCCACGGTACAAGAAATGAAGTCTCTCACTTCTAAGGAGGATTCTGGATATACTTCCTCCCAAACAGATTTGTTTATTCTTCTGGCAATTCATGGTACTACTAATAATTTCTTAATTTAAATGCATCAATTCTTCTATGGTCTTCCTTAGTAATGGTCCAATTTTCACATGCATATGAGGTGATTGAAAATACCATAATTTGGGCCACGTTTACCTTAGTCCTCAAAGTGATGTATTTGCTCTTTAACACATTAAAGAGATCTTTACAGCAGATTTATCTAATGCAGTATGTCATTTGATTTTTTTGACTGCTGCTTCCATGAGAGACACAGAAGCAGAAAACATGAAGGAGGGGGGCCTTAAAGATAGGAGGATAATGAGGAAACTAAGGCACAGAGACTGTTGGATTGGTGGTGGTGGTTATGTGTCATGGAGTTAGTTCCGACTCATAGCAACTCTGTATAGGGTTTCCGAGGTGGTAAATCTTTACAGGAGCAGAAAGCCTCATCTTCTGCAGAACCATTGGTAGTTTCAAACTGCTGACCTTGAGATTAGCAGCCCAACTCACAACCAATACACTACCAGAGCTCCTTGGAAGCCCTATACAGGGTCGTTATGAGTTGGAACCAACTTGAACACAGCAAAGCTCCTAGAGCTCCCAGTTACACCCCCGTGTGTGTGTGTGTGTGTGTGTGTGTGTGTGTGTGTGTGTCCCCAAACACGGAGATGCCTTAGTGAAAGGGCTAGGCGGTGGGAGGTGGGAGTGTAGGGTTAGTCTGCCTGGATTGGCTGTCCCTCTCTGGACCTGTTTCTCTTCTGTGACTCACCTCCGGGTGATGAAGCCATGGAACCAAGTGGGGGCTGCCCCGTGTTGCAAGAGCCAATGGGCCTGGGTTTTCTGGAACCAAGCCCGGGTCTCGGCCTGTAGGGTCAAGCCTTCTTCCCCAAGTACATCCTCAGCCTTTCCAGCTCCTTCTGAACTGGAGGCAGCCCTCCGGGCATTGAGAGACACCTGCTAGAGAGAAAGTCCAAGGAGGGAGAAGCAATCATGATTGGCAGGTCTTCTTAACTCCAAACTAGTCATCCTCATGCCCAGTGTATCCTGGGTATGGGGTGGAACACTTCCCCCCACCACTGGTTGTCTATTGTAGGATGTAGTTGCCCAGAAAGTCCTTCTCAAGGTCTAACTTAAATTCTGTCTTCAGCTCTTAACTATTTTAGCTTCTAGCAGGGCTTTGAACCAATTCTTCCTAGTAGGTGCAATTGTGGTCAGCAAAGCACAACTAGAACACACTTTAATTTGTAAAATATGGGTGTGCCAGAACGATAACTGGAATAGGAAAAATTATGGGTTGACACCCTGCTAGAAATGTAATCTCCCTCTTAGAGAACAAGGGCAGTGTGTGTATTGCGTAGCAACCAAATCTCTTGATTGCCAGAGGAGGAAACAGTGGTGGCCGGCTCAAAGATGGCTGTCACTTTGTGTGTCCCGATCTATGGTACTGGCTGTGATCTGATCTCTCACATCAGACTCCTGAAAGAGCTTACTAGGCCTCTTCTAAGTCTCCCATTACAGAGCTTCAACCTATCATTTTTCCTCTACCAGTTATTGTCCCAGTACACCCACATTTTACACAGTCAGGTCTGTTTCAATTTCACTGTGTCAGCCATAACTGAACTAGGAAGAACTGGTTAGAAGTCCTAGTTTCCAAAGAATCTCCTTCCATTTCCTTTTGGGCCACAGGACCTTTAATCCAATAGCATCAAGCTGGTAAACAGCTTAAATGGGGACAAGACAGGAAACAAAGACTTCCAGAGGGGCTAAAGGTCATTCCCAGACCTGGGAGATGAAGGGAACCCGTTATGAGGGAAGGTTCCTGTTGACAGTAAGCGATATTGAAGCTGAGTTGAAAGAAGGATTTGCTATCCACTGGGAGGGATGAGGGAAGTCCTAGTGGTGCGAATGGCTGCTAATCGAAAGGTTATAGGTTCAAGTCCACCCAGAGGTGTCTTGGAAGAAAAGCTTGGTGATCTACTTCTGAAAAAAAATTATTGGAGCCCTATGGCGCACAGTTTCTATTCTGAGAGCTATACTGGTTTGGAAGGATGAGAATTGAGAGGAGACATGAAATACAAGGGACAAATGCAGGCCACTGACATACATTTATAGGTAATTTCTTATTGGATGAAATGTACTATTACCTATTAGACCGTGTACACAGTCTGAGCTTTCCAGGACCAGAGAAGCACTGTGTGGATGAGGGCACAGCTCAGCAATGAAGTAGCTTCTTCCTTTCTCCATCCCCTCCCTCGACTCCCCTATCCTTGTCCACAGCTCCAGACCACTCCTGCTCTGTCTTCTCATTGTCCATCTGTAAACCTTCACCCAAGGAAGGGTGGGAGCAGATGAAGGGGCTGCATTCCACCAAGTTTCCACTCACCAAAGCCTTGATAGCCAGAGCCCTGGGGCTGGGCTGGGTCTCTTCGGCCTCCAGAGTCTGGGATCTGGGCTGCAGAAGCATGTCCAAGTCCTGGCAGCTCCTGCTAGTCAAATCTGTAGATAGGGAGATGTTGAAGGCTGGGCCAGGGGGTTTAGTGGCTTCCTGTCAGTATAAAGAAGACTGCTGGGGTTTCTCAATGAAGGATTGTCTTTCCCTTTGCCTCTGAGAAGGGATCAGGAGCAATACAGGAGGGACAGCAGAGACATCTCTCAGGATTGAGGAGTAAGGAGCCAAGGAGACTCTGAAGGGCTAATGCTGTTAGCGAGGGACTGTCCGGGAGCTGAGAGCCAGGAAGAAGGATCTGGGAACTGAGCTGGCCTTTTGGTGGCCAGGAAGTCCCACCATCAGGGAGGCAGATCTCTTCTGGTCCAGGGCCCTCCTTTCTTTTTCTTCCTCCCAGCTCCCTTCTCTTTAACAAGCATTCAACAAATCCTGTTGGTTCTCAGGGATGAGTGGACCTGGAGCCATGGAAGAGGGACTGTGGATGCCCTGACAGTCACCCTTGCCAGCTCAGACTTGAGGTGAGGGGCTCTCATCTCTGAAGTGTGAGCTCAAATCCAGGAAAGACAACAGGGGTGTTGAAGGGTGTCCTAATGTTCCCTCTCCCCACATTCTTACACTTTCCACTTACCTTGGGGACTTATCTGAGCAAAGGGGAGCTCCATGGGAGCAGCCTAAGAAGGAGGCCTCTGAAGGAGGCCTCTGAACAGGGTGTGTGTCTGTGCTCTGGAAAGGTGTGCATACTCAGCAACTCATCTTTCCCCAACACCCGGACCCAGGGGCAGGAAGTGTCGTTTCACCCACAGCTCTAGCCCCAACAGAGATCAGACGTCATGGAAAACCTTAAGAAGGTTGTCCCTCCCCCCAGGAAGCCAGGCAACTGAAGGTGATGGTGGGTGGCAGATAGTTGTTTCACTCTTGTGTTTGGGTGTTGGGAAGTCCTCATTGCTATCTGACCTCCATTTCTCTTGATTTCTTTCTCTGCTCCCTCACCCTAGTCTGGGACTTCTTTTTTTCTGTCTCTAGGTTTTTGCTTTCTCCCTGGAAACTCTCTTGCCCTGGCTCATGGTCTGTTCTGAGCAGTGGGAATGGAAATACCAACCTCAGAAGGATCAACTTATAGATGCCCAGAACTCTTCAAGATTCATATTGGGGGTTATTCTCTGAGTGCACATGAAGAGGAGAAGGGCAGGGCTGCAGCAAGGAAGGATGTGGGCCAGACTTCTGGAAGGACTTTCTGGGGTCACAATAAAAACTGTTGAGATGCGGAGTAGAGAGGTGGGGAGTAGAGAGATAATGGAGTTGGGCTGGGACAAAGTCAGGCAATTCTGTAGAAAAGGAAGGGAAGCTATCTTCCAACTAAGCAGAAAACAACCCCAGCCTGTTGCCTCAAGTCTATTCTAACTCTTAGCAACTCTATAACAGGCTTTCCAAGGCTGTCATCTTTACAGAGGACTCCTGATATGCACTATAGGGTCAGCACTGGACTGGGAACCACAGGGTGGGCAGGTCAAACCCAACAACTGCTCCTCAGAAACCCTATACAGGGTTGCTATGAGTCGGAACCAATTCAGTGGCACTTAACAACCACAGCAGTCTTTACAGAAGCAGATAGGCACATCTTTCGCCTGCATAGAGGAGAGTGGGCTCAAAGCACTGACCTTTCAGTTAGCAGTTGAGCACTTAATTGGTACACCACCAGGGCTCACTACCAATTGTTGTTGTTGTTGTTATGTGCTGTGGAGTCGATTCTGACTCATAGCGACCCTGTACAGGGTTTCCAAGGCTGTAAATCTTTACGGGAGCAGAAAGCCTCATCTTTCTCCTGCGGAACAGCTGGTAGTTTCGAACTGCTGACCTTGAGGTTCGCAGCCCGATTCGTAACCACTACCAATTAAGCAGTTGTTAATATGACACTCTTAAGGAAAATCACTAGGCAACAAGGTCAGTTTGAACTGCAAGGTCGGCTGTTCAAACCCACCAGCCACTCCTCTGAAAGTCTATACATGGTCACTATGAATTGGAACTGACTTGACAACACTTAACAACAACAACTTAATAGTTATTATTAATGACATCAACACTAATGTGTTAAACTTGCAGAGTGCTTATAGTCCTCCTTACACTAGAAGACCAATCCTATATCTTTCTCATTTGGGAAAAGAATGCATTCTCTCCATTTTCCAGAAGGTTAAACTAGAGTTGAGAGTTCAGTGCCTTGGCTAGGGCCTGTCTTTCTGTTATTTTTTTCTGGCGACTCTATGTATTCCTTCCATCTTCTTCTTTTTTTAACTTTTTATTGTGAATTGGTGGAGTCCTGGTGTGGTGCCATAAGATAAGCATTCGACCTCAAGGTTGGTTTTAACTGCAAGGTCGGTGTTTCAGACTCCCCAGCAGCTCCTCGGAAACCCTATACAGGGACGCTATGAGTTGAAACCAACTCGAAGACACTTAACAACAACATTGTTTTGGCCAGGGCCTTCCAGTGTCTGAAGTTGGCACAGAACTGGGACTAGAAACCAGAGTTCTTTTCACCATGATTTAGGCTAAAAATCCATGATTGTGCCAGGCACTTTTCTTGGGGCCAAGAATCCAGAAAGAAAAAGGGTTTTGTCTTTGTCCTCAAGATGTTAGGTGGAGGAGCTATATTTGCCTGCAGATACTTTCTAAAGATGTTATTGTTATTAAGTGCCGTTGAGTGGGTTCTGACTCATAGTAACCCTGTATAGGGTTTCTGAGGAGTGGCTGGTGGGTTGAACTACTGACCTTGTGGTTCAAACCGACCTTGTTTTCTAGTACTTATCCTACAGTGCTATACCAGCACTCCTAAAGATTGTTGTTGTTAAGTGCCGTCGAGTTAGTTCTGACTTATAACGACCTTGTATAGGGTTTCCAAGGAGCAGCTGGTGATTTGAACTGTTAACCTTGCGGTTCTAAGTCCAGTGCAGATCCTACAGTGTTATGCCAGAAGTCCCTCGTAAAGATAGTGGTGAGTTAGTGGTATGGACTGGTAGCAGTCGTGTTGCACCTAGTTTAACTTCAGTGGTGATAAGAATCAGCATCAACCCAAAGCTTGATTCCTGTGAGGTAGAGGTTAGACAGGCTTCCACCCTACAACCTTAAACCATTTCGGATACCAGCCATCTTCCCCATGGCATGCTCGACTTCTCTGCTACAAAAAAAGTGTTACCAAAAAAATAAGTTTGTTACAAAACTCACAGACCATACTCACGGTTGTATGGTTTATTAGGGAAGTAGCATGGTTCAGGATCAACAGGCTACATACAATTCAGGGTCAGGGTCAGGAAGCACACAGGCAGCCCTCCCAGCTTCTCTCGGCCATGCAAGCCAACAAGCACTTCTCCCTGCCATGCACATCCCCTCTCAGCTGTGCAGGCTTTTTCTTGTCCCCCTGATAACAGGCCTCTTTGTCCCCTGTTCTGTTCGGCGAGTGTTACAGCTCTTTTAGCTCCTCTGACAAGTGTGTGGAGGTACTCCATCCTAGCAGCAAGCCTCCTGCCCAAAGACACTCAGTTCTATTACTCCGTGGGCCAGGAAGCACACCACGTCATCTTGAACTGGTCTCCTGGTTTTGGAGTTCTGGATTTGGAGTCCTGTGGGATAAGGCAATGGACCACAAGGTTAGTTTGAACCACAAGGTTGGTGGTTCAAATTCACCAGCCTTGTGGTTCAAACTAACCTTGTTTGAACTGTATACGGAAACCGTATACAGGGTTACTGAGTCAGAATCAACTCAAAGGCATTTAACAACAACAAGCCCCAGTGTTACAATTCTCAATACCTCTTAGGTCTAGGAGGTTCTCAGTGTTGGGACCCTGGGTCCCAAGGATGTGCTCCAACGTGGGATCTTACTATTGATCGTAGTGAGGTCCCCATCAACCTCTGTGGGAAAGCTGCTTATATAATCAAATGGTTCAATCCTGTGATGCCACCTTAGGTAGGATAAACACTGCACTGCAAGGTCAGTCATTCAAACTCATCAGCTGCTCCTTAGAGACCTTATTTAGAGTTGCTAAGAGTCAGACGACTTGACAGCAGTTAACAACAACAAAATTTGCATAATAGCTGACCAGTCCCCTCACTAGGGTAAACTGGCTAATCCTCTCAAAAGTGACTCTTATCTATCTTTGTAATAACTGACATTTTCTTCTGAAGGGTGTGGCTTCTTCCCTAGGCAAAACTCACAAGCTTCCCCAGATGACTAGGGCAATTTTAACAACTCATTTTACCCCAGGAGAAAAATCTCCCAAGCTGTTTTCTTTTTCTGTCTCCCCCTACCCCCCACCACAGAACCAAGGCAAAAGACCACATAAAGAAACTCATTGCATCATAGGATCCCACTTTCTAGACCCATACTTCAGCTTAGTGTGTGTATGTGCTCATGTGGAGAGGGTTGGGAGATCCGAAGAAGAGACTGAGCTGAGTTGTGGAGGATGAGTAGGGTTGAAGAAAGTCGGGGAGGCATTTCCAGTTTAGGGACAGCAGGTACAAATGCATGGGAAAATAAAATAGCATAGTGCATGGGGCAGCTGCAGGGGACAGTGTGACTAGAGTAGAAGCTGGGCTTTGGGGCTGCCAGCAGCAGTTTATTCAGCTGGAGGGGTCAGGGCTGACCACACACTGCCAGGAAGGAGTTTGGACTCTGGACTCTCAGCCTGGGCTCTGTCTGTCAGGAGGAACATTTTTTCCCACCAGCTAGTGCTGGCTCTGCCATGTCCACACTCCAAGGCCTTCCCTTCCCTTGAGCCATCTGCTCTCTCTTCCCTTCCTTAGAAACTCTTGTCTTAGTCTTGGTCCCAGCTAATGAGTTGGTAATGGCTGAGAGATGCCTGAAAACTCATCTTCCTCAAACTCTTCATTTGATTGAATTAGTGACTGAGACCCAGAGACAATGCCTGAGAGATGGCTGTTTTCTCTTTCCACTAAGGAATTGTGTCATATACAAGACTCAGTGTCAGTCTCTACTGTGAGCATGCTGGGTTACTCAGTCATAACACCACCTTGGTGAGAGGGAGCCTCTGTCTTGTCACCAAGTCCACTACATTTATCAGTCCTTTGTGCTGGCAACGAAACAGGGTGACTGATGGTTGAAGAGAGAGACTGACTGACATCCGCAGCACTAGTTATTCCATGCCTCCTCTATGATGGAGAGTCTTTGGTGGACATTAATATGAGACCCAGAGGTCGCACTAGGGCCGGGACTAGGATGAATCAAGTGAGGTGCTCAGGGTACAAAATTCAAGGACACACTCACTGCCAGGACTGTGCAATTGCAGTCTAGTTCCAGCCTTGTCACCCACTTATCTCTTTCCTGTTGTTGTTATGTGCCCTCAAGTCACCGAATCATCTGGCTAAGGTATTTTCCAGTAGTCCATGTATATCCTCACTCCATGCTCTCTCTCCTTATGTATGAAGTGGATTACCAAGTACATGCTTGTAGGTGTGCTCTCCTGAGAGGAGGTTCCTTTATCAGTGTCCCTCAGGGATGCCACTGTATGGGATCCTAATGGTGCTGATGCCAACATAACATGCTGACTCATTCAGACCTTGGTCTGAGTCCTATCTTCCTCTTAAGTAACAAGGAACCCCCCACGAAGTCATAAATGTGGGTTGCAGAAATCAGCAATGGAGTAGTAACCACGTA